CCCCATGTTAGACTACAGCATTTAGCGCAATCAAAAATAAAGTTTTTTCTTTTCATTTGATAATTTATGTGCAGTAAACCCTTGACGAATGCAGGGGTTACGTCACTAACAGCCTGCGTATACGCCAAAACTGCGTTCAAAAAATTTAACTTTCCATGAAAAAAATGCGATATGTATATGTAAGATTAAGAAAGTATGCATAACTCATACAAACTTAAATATTACTGCAATTAAAAGAGAAAAATAAAATAAATGTTAGTTAAAATGATTTCTATTATTCCTTAATTAAATATGTAAATTATATAACTATTTTTTTCATACTTGTCATAAAGTATCCTCTTCTTTCATCATTTGGGTCAATCTTCCTTACAAAATCAGAGAGATACTGTGCCTTTTTTAACAATTCGTTTAACTTCTTGTGCGTCAAAAGCTCTTTATCTTCGCTATCGCTGCTTTCACCGTCGGTTAGTGTTATAAGATATCTAATCTTCATTTATTATTTCAAAATAATCATTCTCGACTAATTCTTTGATTTTTCCTTCTTCCATATCTAAAAATCCTTTGCCGCCTTTTCCTTCTGAAATTTGTACGATTTCCCTGGCTTCATTTTCAATCGATGGAAATCCTTTAAAAATACTGACAACTTCTGGACAGCGCTGATGCCAGCAAGCATTCATTGCTCATGTTCATTGCTGCTGTACCTGTTCCCATGCCAGTTTAATCATTTCTATACAGTGGCTTGTGTTTCGAAATGCCATTAGTGTGCCGAGCTTTTCTTAGTCTAGTGCTTCATTTGTAGAGATGTAAACATACCTGACATAATAGCCATTGAATGTTTTCATGATTCCTTGTTCCATCGGTTGGATTAAAGAAGTGGCGTTCGGTAGATATTTGAAATTCTCACGTTGTCCAAATTAAATGGAAACAATTAAAATCGCATGTGTATGCAAAATCGCGTTCTGCAAGTCCGCGATCGGCAAGGGTTACTGTATATATATATATATATACAGTAACCCTTGCCTATATATATATATACACAATAAATGATTCTAGAATAAATACAATATATTATATATTATTTATAATGTTTATAGCAACGCTAAAAAATATATTTCATTATTATAAATTATTCATTATTATTATTATTTATTATTTTTGCTATCTATTTTTATTATTATGAATGTAATTCTTATGTATTGTTTCTAGAAACAAACATAGACAGCTGTAGGTGCTTTTCGGAAGAATTAAACAAAAATCTTCTTTCTGACTTGCTGATTTAGCAGTATTCAACATTAACTCTTTCTAACTTATACAAATATTCTCAAATATGTGAGTTTTATTTGACTAAATATTTAAATAAATCATCTATGTCGTTCATATTGTAATGATTGTACATTACATTGCAATGTAGAATGATTCGCATTTACCTTTAGGCTATCTTTTGAATGACACAAAAATAATGATTTTTTTTCACTAGTTATGCTTCCATGCACTATTTCTTAGAGTTATATAAGATAAGCAATTATAATGAATTAAAAATCTTAGAACCAAGTTTGTGCAGTCATTAAGTTCTTTTGTGGTTCGGTTTGTAAAATTATGACAAAGCACGCGAGGGCTACCTACCTATGGGAAGGAATATCTTCGTGAAGGACATTCTAAGGGAAACTGGCTCATATACACGTTACATATGGGGAAAACCATAAAGCCAGCTCGTTCGCCGGGATTCGAACCTCGGACCAAACTACCAATGATCAGCGACTTTAGCGCTCGGCCACTGGTGGATTTTTTGAGATTAGAAAACTCGAAAATAAATTTTAACTTCGTCAGCAATCGAAACAGATGCAAGCTGAATAATCGATAATTTGCAAGCTGAATGTATGAACCAGTACACCACAAGGTCACTAGATCTATTTCCAATATTACTCCCACATTTGAAAGACATCTTAGGATGGAGACCCAGCCAGCCATACTGCTGTGGTGACTAAATCTCGTGTACTCCCACTTGTAGGATTTTATATTTTTTAACCAATTATTTCATTATTTTTGACTTTACTGTCACTTTTACTTCCATCATCTTCCAACAAGATGTAAATTAGTTAATGGCTTTAAGGATAAAGGTCTTGAGTATTTTTTCTTTAATTTTATTTTTTTAAACCGCTTGTGACTGCTATCCCTGACCGCAACGCTACTATTTCGTCCTGTGTATACATGTTTACTTTAAACCTTTTTCTGAGTGAGTTACTTTAATGAGAGATAAAGTCGGGAAGTCGGGGCGTTAAGTCGCTTCGTAGAGCTAGAGAAACATTTTAGGTAGTTAAGTTCTGAGTATACTTTAACTCGAGCATCATCATCGCAGAACCATTAGGTATTGCAAACAAAACTGCTATTTACTTAATGATGCTCTGGCATGGAGATAACGGCACCATTTTTAACTTTAAGACAAGACGGCCTGAGCAAAGGTGCCAGTACTTTTAAGACAGAACTCCGTGATTCAGCGGTCCTATTTGTGCCTGCATGTCCATTGATTAGATATGCGAAACTCTGCTAAATAAGTAGATCATAGGAAATCACCGATGTGCAAATGAGATACATTCTTGAGAATTCTACTTATAGTGAATAAAATAGCAAAAAATATCCAAATCCATCGACTATTAAAATAATATTCAGCGTAAAGAAATACTGTATATAAGTGATTAAATCTGCAGCCCTAGTTTTCATTATATTCTCATTTCGAGTACTGATTTTTCTTGTCTCGTAAATTTTGGGAGCTTACTCATGAGTGCGAAATGCCGGACGTTTGGAACTAGGGTCTGGCTGTACTTAAAAAATTCTTGGCAAAAAAGGAAGCATTCTTAAATTTTGATTATTAGATATATTTCGTAGTTTTTTTACGGGTTCTAAAATTCAGCTGAAATCTGGATATCGTATGAGAATTTTTATGCGAGAATCTATCAGAAGCTGCATATTACCAATCAGCACAGTCAAACGCGCATGCTCGATTTTTAATGCAGAAGAAATTCAGAAACCGAAACAACTCAAAAACAAAGCGTAAAGATAAAATAGAACTGGAACTGGGACATATAAATGCATGACTGAGAATTCAAGTTTATGATACCTGAGTGGCACGAGATTATTGATCTAGCCTTCTTAGTCACTTTCGGTTCAATTTTTTATTTATTACAGAACCACATAAACTCCGTGCTTTGTAAAAAAGGAGAGTTTTTTGACTAACGTCTGTAGCTTAGCCTTAACACTTTTTTCTTGGCTTCACGTTACTCGCCACATAATACCGAGTTTGTTCGGAGATAGATAGCGCACAATAAATTAAATGCAGAAATATATTTCAATTCTTTTTTAATACTCTGAAACAACTGGTATTGTTTACACTGTATTAAAAGAAGGCTGCGTTCAAAAAATCGTATCCTGTCAAAATAAGGAATGTTACCAACTTGAGCAACATCCTTGTAGTTGCCATGCGTCGTAATATCAACAAATAAAATCTGTTTAGCTCATGCATATCAACTAACATATAAAGGCAGATCACACGCCATACCTTCAACTGAGTCCTCTCCCCCGTTTACTTATCAAAAATACATACAAGCTGTACGGTTTTCCTTGGTCTTGTAATGCTAATTAATCCAAAATCACTAATAGAGATGAAGCGAATAATCTATGTCTCATAAGAAGGTTAAAAATAATCTTTTTTATTTAAACAGAATGAGCTATAATATAAACAACTCGTAGTAATGCAACTAAATAGAATAGTCGAATTTAAATCAAGCATTTGATAGTAGTGAAGGATACTCAATTAAATATTGCTAGAAACTGGCTCACTACTCTACTGGAGCGTCAGAATCAAGCTATCGGCAGCGATGGAACCCAAAGCCGAAGAATTACAAGTATCATAGCTGGAAGGAAACTAACAACCGTAGGGAGCATGCGATGCCAGAAACAAGCTGTGATTCAAAATCAAAAACCTTAGTTTAAATGTTGCCTACTACTACATTCTGAGTTTTGGAATAATTTGTAGAATATTGTATTAGGCATAGTAAAATTTAGCACTTTTCTCACGGAAAAACAAATTCTTAGTTAATCACAAAAAGCTCATTTCGGCAAATATTAGGAAACATAGTAAATAAGCCATAAAAATTTACATACCTGTGAGCTGTAGTTCCTGAGAAAAGGTACATCGAGTATAGAAAAACGCTTTTCATGTAAAAATCTTCATTTATCAAAGTACTCGATGATAAATTAAAACTAGATTTTTTACACTTCTAAATTTCATAGAGATTAAAGATTATTTTCAGAAAGCTAAAAGTGTAGAGAATCTGAAAAGGCAAAAAATCCCAAATCACCATTTTTTGAAGATTTTTAGCTTCCAACACCCTTTAACGTAAAATTCCTTACAAAGTAAATACTTTTCAATTATTAAAAAAAAAAAAAAAGAAAAAGAAAATAAGTTTCAATATTTTGAATGCACGTTTTACCTTGTAAAGGTAGAGATTTAAGTCAGCAGTCGGACGTTACGTTTTTAAGCAATTATCGCTCGCACTCTGTTGTCGTGTAAGTGGCTAGAACATCCAGCTGGCAGTTGAAACATTCATGTCCGATTCCCGGGAAAAGTACAATTGATTTCTCATGTCTCCTTATTCTAATTAACATTCTCTATAGTGGAGCCCGAAATAAAAATGTGATAGGCAATAACTCGTCGCTGGACTGGGTTTAAGTGTGGGAGTGGGGAATCGAGGAGCTTGAAGCCACAACAGAACTATAACTCAAGTTCTTGTTTGTTGGGTTATTAAAGAAATTTTAAGGCATATACCTTATTCGTCTGTGCGTGCTCTTTTGGTGCAAGTGGTTAGTTATATCGAGATAGCTACTGATATCTCGATATTAGGATTCCAATCCCGGGGAGAGGACAGTTGATGTTTAACGTTCACTGCCGAGAAACGTCTTTACAGTGGTTCCCGATATGAAATGTAGTGGACTATAACTAATTATTACCTGGATTCAGATGTCTGAGTCTTGTGCTTCTCCCCAACCACTCCTTAAATAAGGAGAATGTAAAAGTTATTCTATTTTTCCATGCGGTTTCTTGATGTATTAGTACATCCGACTGGCAAGCGGAAGATTCGGGGTTTGAATGTGCTCAATAGCTAAGAAAATAAATACTGTAGTTACTGTTTTCGAACATATATGCATTTCTTAACACTTAAAAGACCTTAGTTTTAATATCAGATACTGAGTTGGTATTAGTTGCTGTTTTTGTGGAGAGATTTAATATTATCTTAATTACTGCTACTTCCAGAAAGATCACTTCGTTCGGCCAGGAAGTATTTAATAGTTTGAAAAGTATGCTGCTTAGTTATCAGTATTTAGCTTTAAATTAGTGTGCTAAGAACTAATTAAAATTTTATTATTATTGCTACGTAAACTAAGGAGTGATCCTGTAAACTGAGTTTTAATAAGGTAATAAGAAATCTTTGTTGACTCAGAAACTCCTACGAGAAACAGATTACAAAATTATGCCTAATTATTCTGCAACTTTGTAGGATCTTAACTGTGCAATGTTAATTCATCTCCTTCGGACTTTATTGGACTACCAAGCAAGTTATTGTTCCATCTCTGTAAATATGACAAAGTCCTGTGAAGTTTTTAAATAAACCTTGTAGAGACATTAGGTATTTTTTGAAACCAGGAGAGATGAAAAATGAGCAGCGCCCTTTCCGGGACTCGAACCACGATCTCTCGAATACGCGCCGAGTATCCTGAACATTACACCACGAAGGCATGCTAAGAAGGCGGGAGAAATACCTTATAACCTTTTTTTATTAACCACGCAAACCGTTTTTATTAACCTTTTAAAAACCACGAAAACCAACCATGCCACCTACCCATTGGTCTGGAATCGAACCATAATCAGGTCGAACTACCAGTATTAAGTGGTGTTAACCACTCGGCTGCTACTGGACGTAAGGGCTAACGGAACGGAAAAGTGATAGTTAAGGTCTAAATCATAAAACTGATTAATTAACATAAATATATCTTATAACCTAATTGTTACTACTTTTAAAACAGTTCATATTTCTGTTATTTGATAACCTACTCATAGCCCTTGACTTAAGACCACTGAACAATAGTATTTAGGGAGAGATGTATAATTATTTTCTCGGCCAAATTCACGTTCAAAGGGACTTCGTTCATAGAGTAAGATAAAAGAACAATCTGTTAGAAGTTGGCTACCGGCATGATAGCATTACGGTAGAGCTGAATATTTAGCTTCAAGACCCGATCGAAGTCTATGTTTTCAACGTTTCCCAAACTTACTTTTTATACTTTTGGCACTGAAATGGAAAAAGTTTGGCAGATTTAAGATTTTACCAGAAACAAAATTTGCATAAATTGAAGTAAATTGAATTTGCGGACCGTTGTTGAGCAAGTTATGTTTACTTCTACGAAATAAAGCCATATCTATCGCACAAGAAAATAAACATATAAATGTCATTCAAAGAAGATAACAACTAATTTACGGAACCTGAATACATTTTTGTGCATAACCTACATTTAAAATGTTAACGAACTTTCCAAACCAGTGTTTCTGAAACAGTTAATTTCTTGCATCTAGTAATTTCTTTCTGACTTGTCTTTTTCTTAGAAAGATTCCATTAATATAAGGTACAGGAGCATGCAAAGTCTTATGCAGGTTTCTTTGCTTAAATGCCTAAGCGTAGAGTTGTATCGGAACTTCAAAAGCGGAAACATTTGTGTTCTTCGAAGCGGTAAGGAAGACATTTCCTCGCATTGTGTGGAAAGAAAGAAACAGTCTTTATAAAACTAAACAGATATACAAAACTTCGTAACAACTATCATGCTTAGGTCAAGGGTGGACATGGCACTTATTTCGGCGAATGCACACCAGATTTATGTAATAAAAAAAAAAATGCATTTACCTTGAGTGGAAGAATGACCAGGAAATTCAATAAGGCCAAGGGCGGTTAAATATACTTCACAAAATAGCAGACTGTTCTCTCTTAAATGAGGGCTGTAAAAGCTGCGTGATTTTGGACAATAAGTTAATCATATTGTTTTAAGGTTGTATTGAAATGTAACTAAAATATCTTTAAAATTTGCAAAACAGTGGAAGTTTTCCACGCATTTGTGCAGAGGAAATGTTCAAAGGATAAAAGGGGGAAAGTTATTAAGGAAATAACAGATGATTCTTTTGCGTAAGTTGACAGCTTTAAAGCTTACATGATATTTTTGCATGATATGTTACATAACTTTAATCATGATATTTTTGCATGATATGTTACATAATTTTAACTTTTAATAATCGGAAAGTAGGAAAATCACTCGTCCGATTAAAAATTGCAAAACTGAGCCTCTGCTAAGAAATACTCTACGAAACCTAGCTACTTAAAATGTTCTGTGGCTCCGGAAAGATACCCAGCGAGACTTATTTAACTATTCTAATTTTTCACTAATATAACATCAAATCAGGAAAAGCTTTAAAATAAACCTTTATACTAGAACTTCAGCCTAATATTTTACACGGCTCGTGTAGTAGCAGAAGACTCCGATGCTTGCGTCATTAGAGGAACAAAAATGTTAAAATGATATTTAATTATTTAAAAGCCTAGATTTATAAGGCAAAGCTCTCCTGTAAGTTTTAGCTCGGGCCCTCGACTCACAGAAACAAACACTGTTAACAAAGGGTAAAGCCGATTCAAGTAAATTTATAGAAGCTGGGCAAAATGACATTGAAATGGTAAACGGACGCTAACAAATGTTCTTTCCTTAATTCAAGAACTCTATCCTTACATATATATATTAAGTAATTTACATCCGGGTGAGGGCCGACGAAAGTAGAAGTGATAGTACAGGCAAAATAACAATATAATCAGTTAATAAACATAAAACCTTGAAAGTTTAATTTTAAAGGTTTCGACACATATAACACCAACAATTTTCTTAACTTCATTTCATATATTTTTAGCAATTGTTATTCTTTTTTTTTTTCCTTCATTGACGGGCACTTAGCCGACTAAGGCTTGGCCACCACTAAATGGCTACTAAGACAGAAAAGTAGTAGCCACTTTATTATGGAAACTCCTAATAGGTGAGCCACCATTAACTCCTATGAAGGGACGGACAGATACAATCGTGTCTTCTCTGGGATTCGAATCCGGGTCCTTCGGATCCGCAGCTGGCTCCCCTAACCATTATACCGTCTGAGGGGCAGTTTTTCATTAATAGTATACGGTATTTTTTCTTGCTAACCTTTGAACTAGTGTACGGCATTTTTCTCTCCCTTAAAATTCAATAAAAGCTATTAGGAGTAGTTTAAAAGAGAGTCGGTGCTTAAAAACGCAATTTACTAGAATGGAGAATAAGGAAGGTGGAAAAAAAATCAACTCTGAATTTTTCTTTCGTAAAAAAGGACACAATTATTCTTTAAAAAAATTTCAACTATGAAGAATTCTGAAAATTTTCATAACTTTTAAAATATTAAATCTTAAGAACATTGTATTTATTTGATAGTTCCTGAAGAAAATAATGAAACCAATTTTAAAATATGAAATTTTAAAAAATTACTCCCTTTATTTTTATACTTTAAGAGAAAATAAGGAAACTGAAACTATTTATCTAAAATATTTTATCTATAGAAGATAAAATATAATTAAATGAATCGGTAGTAGTATATGTATCTTTGTAATTGGTATCGGTGTCTTTCTAAAAATGCCCAAAAGAATATGAAATTTATAAATTGGCTAAATACCGGAAAAGTTGCGTTCGTCGAGATTCAAACCACTGATATTCGAAATCACTACCCGAAACTGCTAACCATTTGAACCACGAGAACACGCACGGGAAAAAGGGAAACCTTATTATATCCTTCCTTAATTTCAAAGGCGACGAGGGAGAAGCACGAGTCACTATCGATCAAAAACAGAGGGGACGAGCTATTGTCTAGCACACCTCTCTTTCAGCGCCACTGTAAAGAAGATTACACATCTCAAAGCTGAAAAATGTTATAAATCAACACTATTCTCGCTAGCTGGTGGCGGTGAACACTTGCACTAGGAAAACACGCACAGATAATGCGATAACTCTGCACATGTTAACGAGCATGCGCCATAAAACAAAAATTCGCAGTATTCACTAGAAGATTTGACAAAGCTACTGTTAATCAGCATTTAAAATTGTTTAAGGACATCCATTTAACCGAATTTAATATTGGGGTAGCAGTCATTGAATTACCTTTCAGCGAATAGCTCATTTTTTATATAGCCATGCATATTCAAAAAGGCTCAATAATGAACAGCTGTGATTTAAGTCAATACCTAATTTTGACAATTTGCATACAATATAGACTTTCATTCCTCAGTTGTTATTTCGATGACCGGACACATGGAAATTAATACGTTCATCGGGAATGACCAATGACCATCGTTCTTAACTCAGCTTTTCATCAAAGTTAAGAACATTATAAGTGCATCATACCGAGTGACCGATTCACTCAACCTTTGTAAACATGTATAGTTTGCGCAAACAACAGTGACAAATGATGATCAAGTGTCACCAATAGTCATCATTAGAAAAGTACCTGGTGACCTAATAATCACTGTCATCACTTCCGAAACAGGCCTCGGAACAGATCGCAATCATTCAACGGTGTGAATTCACGTTCACGCACATAGTTCAAGGCAGGGCCTCATTCTCACACATAGCCGCTTCAATATACAAACGTGAGAAGTTATTTCTTGTTGCTCAAGCAGTCTTCAAACAATAACCTTTAGAAATTTTTTCTTCCTTGACAACAATCAACAGGAATCTTTCCCATAATCGTAAAAAAAATTTATGGTTACAAAACTGTGGGCATCTCAATAAGAAAAGTTTTGGTTTGCTACGCTAGTTACCCTTACTGTGGAAAAAAGAAGACCCAACAAAAGAATATGATATGCTCAAGTAAATTAAGTCACACGCAAAGTGTCACAATGGAGGTCAGTTCTACGAGAGAAAAAGGAAGGTCGAGAAAGGATTTGC